AGCAGGAATTCTCAACTAAGTATGGTAAAGGGTTTTTTGTTTTTTGCTTTTAACCTTTCCCCTCTGCTTTGCGATATGCTTCAAAAGTAGAGGTTACCTCCTCCCCTCAATTCCGAGTCACTCACAAGGGGCTAGATGGAGAATCCGGAACACTGCGACACCGGCCTGATAAATGAATGAACAGCCCCGCAACCCCCAAAACCTGAGGTTGCTACCTATGAGGTCTCTTTTTCTAGGTGCATCCTTTCAGGAGACACAGCTCCTTTGCCCAAACCCACCAGGATGCCCCACCCTCCAAAGACAATCAAGGCCTAGAAAAGATTCTCTCCCTCCTCTAGATTCAGAAACCCCTTCCCACCACCACCTCCCACCAAAACCTTTCCTTGCCCTTCTGCGCCTAGCTCCCACGTCTCCCACGAAGACCGCTTCCTCGGCATCCCACCCCAGGTCCCACCGCCAGAGCTGCCCCAGCCTCCGCACTCTCCTACCTTCGAGGGGCGGAACGCTCACCTGCTCGATGGCGAGCTGCACGTCGGGCGTGAGCTGCAGCACGGCTTCCAGCTCCTCCACGAACTCCAGGTCCTCCTCCTCCATCATCCTGCCGCCCAGCTCCCTCCCGGCGCCCACCCCTACCCCGAGCCGCACGTCCTGCAGCCACCCACGCCCCAGAACAGCGACCCTCCAGCAGCAGCGTTCCAGCCAGCCTGGGCTCTGTCACCCAGTCGGGCACTTCCGGGAAACCAGGCACTTCCGGGATCCGGGGCATTCTGGGATAGCGGAGCACTGACCTCTGGTCCCATGGTGGAGGCGTTCCTGTCACCTCCCGGAGTCTCCTTGGGCAGCCCTGTAGTCCGGCGGCCGCCACCTGCCCTCACCCCTCCTTAAGATGGTGGGGACCCGCTTCACCTCGCCGAAGGCACCCTCCCCACTTGGGCCCTGGCGCTGGGGAGGACCCGGCCGCTCCGGCAGGACCCCCCAGTGAGGGTGCTCCCCAGCAGCGTCGCGATCGAATGACAGCAACTCTCACGGGCCGCGAGGCCGGCGATCCTTCTGCTCCCAGGGGCCCCTTGCTCAGTGGCAGTAGGTGTCCCCCCAGCCATCGGGGGAGAAATGACCCCAGCTGGTAAGTGGCGTTGTTGCCAAGGACAATTTGTAGGATGGGAATTTGTCCACTTGACAAGAGTTAAATTCCCCGTGTGCCAAGCTTCTAGGCAGCGTTTTCTGGGGGCGTCCGCACCCAGGGGCCCCTTGCTCAGTGGCAGTAGCGGGGGCGGGGAAAAAGAGCCAGATTAGGCAGTGACCCGCCCTGGGGAAATGCTGACTTTCTGAGACTGAGTAGCTGGAGTCGAAGTCACGGTCCACGAATGATGAGCTGTGTGATCTTGAACAAATTACTACATCGGCCCTGCTTACCCTGCAAGGATGTGGCGAGAGAGAGAAATTAAAAGCGCTATGCAAATTTAAGCTAGTAATACAGGTAATATGAGTGTGTCTAGCCCTTATGTACCACAAATGAAAAAGCCAGGTCACCCTGTGGAACCACTTTTCCTCCAGACACAATGAGATAATTGCAGACAAGGGAAGAGTTGTTTTATCAGTTAAACATGGTAAAACTCCATGATGAAGTGTCCCTGACCCCAATGAGCATTTTTTTTTTAAATCAAAATTGTGGTTAAAAAAAGATGGGAGCAATATAATTTCTAACAGTAAAGGAAGGCTTAAAAATATAAATTGGTTACGTAATAGAATATTACTGACTCAAAATCATGGTTTTTGAAAATTATTTAATGACATGGGAAAATGTGCATAATATATTTCAGAAAGCAAAAATATACAGCATGGTCCCAGTTTACATGTGTGTGTATTTTGTGCCTAAAAAAATTACAGCAAGAAATATTACTTTTCTGCAGGTGATGGAATGTATTCTTTGCACATTTTCCCAAAATGTCTATGAGCCTGTAGCATTTTTATAATCAGAAATATAAATACCTTTTTTTTGTTGTTGTTGGTACGCGGGCCTCTTACTGTTGTGGCCTCTCCCGCTGCGGAGCACAGGCTCCGGAAGCGCAGGCTTAGCGTCCATGGCTCACGGGCCCAGCCGCTCCGCGGCATGTGGGATCTTCCCGGACCGGAGCACGAACCCGAGTCCCCGGCAGGCGGACTCTCAACCGCTGCGCCACCAGGGAAGCCCATAAATCCCTTTTTTTTTTTTAAAGGAAATGATAATTTTATCTGTCTTGGATGTTTTCCATTTTTTATATACAGTAAGAAATAATTTATATACAGTAAAATCCACCCATGTCGTTTAGAATGCCGTTTTAATAAATGCATATAGTCATGTAACCACTGTCACAATCAAATCCTAGGACAGTTCCATCATCCCCCCAAATTCTCTCATGCCCCACCTCATCCCCTGGCAACCACTGACCAGATTTCTGTCCTATAGTTTGACTTTTCCAGAATGTCATATAAATGGGATCATACAATATGTCACCTCTTGAGTCTGGCTTCTTTCACTCAACATAATACATTTGTATATCATCCATGTCGTTGCATGTATCAGTAGTTTATTTCTTCTTGCTGAGTGGTAATCCACTATCTGGATATACCACAGCTTTTTTATCCATTCCCTGGCTGAAGGACATTTGGGTTGTTTCTAGTTTGGGGCAATTATGAATAAAACTGCTATAAACATTCATATGCAGGTTTTTGTGTGAACATACATTTTCATTTCACTTGGGTAAATAGGTAGAAGCGGGATTGTTGGGTTGTATAGTAAGTCTGTGTTTATAAGAAACTGGTCAACTGTTTTCCAAGGTGGGCTGTTATCATTTTCGCATTCCTGCCAGCAATGGATGAGCGTTCTGGTTGCTCACAGCACTTATATTTAATGATGATAATAATAGCTCACATTTCCTAGCCCTTACTATATGCCAGGCACCATGCTAAGTATACATTATTTCAATCTACATGGCAGTTCTGAGGTTGGTAGTTATTATCATCATCTGCTATTCACAGATGAGAAAATTGGGATGTAGTTAAAAACTAACATAACGCAAGGAAAAAAAAAAAAAAAAAAAACTAACAAAAAACGTTCCCAAGGTTCCATAACCAACTCTTCCTGCCATTCATTCATTCATTCAATAAATTTATTGAATGAATAAATGAATGTTCCTGCTGGCAGTAGGCACTAGGCCAGGTGCTGGGACTTTAGCAACCAACAAAATAGACCAAGTGCCTGCCTCCACGGAACTATTTCCAGGTATGAAAAGGGTATTCATACAAATAAGCAAAGAATTGTGTTAGGTCTAATGAAAGACAAGTAAAGCATACTATGAAAGACGATATTGATAGAGTGCTCTGATTGGATTTGGGGGGTCAGGAGAGGCTTCTTTGAGGAAGTGACTTTTAAGCTGAAGCAAAGGGTGGGGTGTGAACAGGAGATGACAGACAAAAGGAACAGTAAATGCAAAAGCCACGAAGATAGAAGAAATTGGCCAGGGTGATGGGACTTTCAAAGCCGAAGGGAGAATGGAACAAGAAGAGGCCAAAGAAATTGGCAGTGCCAGATGGTGGAGACTCTTGAAGGTCATTTGAGAGATGGGAAGCCTTTGAAGGATTGTAAGCAGAGGAGTGACAGGACCAGCTTCAGCAGGCCTGTCATCAGCCCTAGTCCCCTCATTTTTGTTTTCTCTGCTTCCAAGTGGTGCACAATGTCATGGAGAGTCATGATACCAGGGTGACCGTCTCCAATACAAAGTCATGCTGTCCCATTGCCACTGATTGTCCTTTTACAAGTCCCTTGTCAACTCTCATTGCATTCCCCCTGCAACCCAAACCTTTCCCTATGCTGAAGCTCCCAACTCCATTATCCCCCTTCTCCCTATTTCCAGATAAGATAATAATAATGAATATAAGTTTGGGTTTAAGAGAGTTACATGGTACAAAAGTCTAGGAAGATAAAAGAGCAGAGAGATAGGTGGACATCAGGTGAAGAAAACTGCATTAAATAGTAACAGGCTAGGGCTTCCCTGGTGGCGCAGTGGTTGAGAGTCCGCCTGTCGATGCAGGGGACACGGGTTCGTGCCTTGGTCTGGGAAGATCCCACATGCGCGGCTGGGCCCGTGAGCCATGGCCGCTGAGCCTGCGCGTCTGGAGCCTGTGCTCTGCAGCGGGAGAGGCCACAACAGTGAGAGGCCTGTGTACCGCAAAAAAAAAAAAAAAAAAAAAAAAAAAAAGTTTTATGTCCTAAATATAATATTGTTCAAGATTCGATAGCTTCCTCCACCCCAATCCCCCTTGGAGATTCGTTGCTTTGAGAGATCACTCCCACCGCCATCTCTAGTCTCCACATCTTTTCTGTCCACACTTGGCTTTCTCTCCTTAGTGTCAGTCACACATTTTCAAAGCCTGTGAAAATCTTCACTTTGCTTATCATCAGTTTCTCTTTTTCTTTGCCCTCACTGCCCTAGCCTAAGCACATTTATCTGTTGGGTTTAGAGTTTAGCATTTGATGGAAAGGCACTACAGTGGTGCAATCGGTTAGCGCCCGGGGTACTTACACAGCATTTTACGGGCAGATTTAATCCACTACACCAAATGATAGCAAATGGTTTCAGGGACTAATACAGTATAGGGAATTTACATAGTACTTTAATGAACAGTTTAAATGTTTTCATATGTTATTATTGTTATCTCGGCCAGAAGGCTTGTGCGATCCTAGTTCCCTGACCAGGGATTGAACCCAGGCCCCCTGCAGTGGAAGCTCGGAGTCCTAACCACTGAACCACCAGGGAATTACACATATATGTTATTTTTTTCTTAAAAAAGTTTTTAAAATTTATTTATTTATTTTGGCTGTGTTGGGTCTTTGTTGCTGCGCGCGGGCTTTCTCTAGTTGCGGAGCGCGGGGGCTACTCTTCATTGCAGTGCGCAGGCTTCTCACTGCAGTGGCTTCTCTTGTTGCGGAGCACAGGCTCTAGGCTCGTGGGCTTCAGTCGTTGTGGCACGTGGGCTCAGTAGTTGTGGCTTGCTGGCTCTAGAGCGCAGGCTCAGTAGTTGTGGCGCATGGGCTCAGTTGCTCCACGGCATGTGGGATCTTCTTGGACCAGGGCTTGAACCCGTGTCCCCTGCATTGGCAGGCGGATTCTTAACCACTGCGCCACCAGGGAAGTCCTTCATATATGTTATTTCTTAGACTTCTCCATAGTTCTTGACGTAGGTGGGACAGTAGGGTGAGAAGCCAAGGTCAGGCAGCTAAGTGCTGGCCTGCTAAGATGACACCAAAGTCTGTTATGTTCAAATGTTTTTGCTCTTAATGCCTCTCAAACCTACCTGAGCCAGGTCCTGTTACAGCATTATGTATAAAAATCAAAGCCATTACTTTTCAACAGCTTATGTGCACTTTCACACTTTAAAAAATGATGATTCCTCAAAAGTATGTTACATGAATGTCATTTGTTTTTTTTTTTTTTTTTTGGCCATGCTGCACAGCTTGCAGGATCTTAGTTCCACGACCAGGGATTGAGCCCGGGCCCTTGGCAGTGAGAGCGCAGAGTCCTAACAACTGGACTGCCAGGGAAGTCCCTGAATGTCATATTTTTTTTAATATTACCTTTCATATAATTTTCAAGGCAGTGTGCTTTATCAAATTTCTAAC